ACCCCCACCCGTTCCCCCGCGGTGGGGGGGTCCCCCCTCTGCCCCCGCCGGCTGGGCACGGCCCTGGCTTTCCATCGCGGCCCCTCCAGCCTGGGCTGCCCCGCTGGCACCCCCTGCGCCCATCGTCCTGGCCAGGAGAGGAAGGCCACCGTAGCGGCCGGCTGACCCTCACAGCAGAGGCTTCCCAGTGCTTTTTCCCCACCTGGGATTAGGATTTGTCGTCATCCTCATTTCGTCAGCTTCTCCCTCCCCGTCGGGTTAGTTAGCCCCCAGGAAGAAGGCTGCTTAGTAATTTTCCCTTTTACCTGCACAGCCTCCATGGGAGTCCCCTGACAGATGCAGGCTTGGCCCTCCTCAACCCTGCTCTCTCCATCCACCCCTCGCTGGTGGCTCTGGATCTAGGAGACTGCATGCTGGGTGATGAAGGCATCAACCTTATCTGTGGGCTCCTGCCGCCTGACGGGGCCAAGTCCGGTAAGCACCAGGGGTTGTGGGCTGCACAATGACCAGTGGAGCTTCACATGGAGCAGATGCATGCAGCTGTAAATCCTCAGCCCTGGAGGAGGCAGGCTCTGTAGTTTGTCTGGGCTGAGGAATTTCTTTCCCCAACTTAAGTAAAGCAGAAAAGCCAAGCAATAGAGGAGCGGTTCCCTTGGGCAGGCATGGGCTTTCCGCTATTGATCTGGCCTGCTGGCAGTTTGGAGATCAGGGACCAACAGGTTGCTTCTGGTTCATGACAGGAACGTTTGAAACTGGAGGAGGGGACAGCTTGGACTTTGACTTTATTGTTTTGCATTTGCATGGTGATAATGACCGTAGATAAATGTATGGTGTGCCCCCACCTCAGCACTTGGCTTTATTGTGAATGCCTGGGAATTGTCCCTGCTTGCAGGTGCACTCTGTGAGTGTGTGGTTGCATGGTCATAGCCTTAGTGCCAAGACTCAGATCTTTGCGGGGGATGATCTTTGGTGGTCAGAGGCCAGTGGGCCAGTTAAGCTGAGAGCTGGCACATGCTGAGGTAACACCACCCCTCTCTCCTGACTCTCAAAGTGCTTTCCAGCTCTCTCCAGCACCTTCTCCTGTGTGTGCTCACAGTGTGACTGATGCTGTTATCTCTGCTGGCCTCCCCTCCCAGATGCAGTAGGCTTCAGAGCCTACTGTCCTCGTTATCCTCTTTCCAACCTGTCACCTTATGCCACCTCCTTCTTCTGGTCAGTCACCTTGCACACCCCATACTTGTTTCCCTTGTGTTTGCTATTTGGGGTAAGGAGGACACAGGTTAGGAGAGCAGAGAAAGGGGGCAGTCACAGCATGGGCAAATGAAGGGCTACTGCTGGAGGCAGTGAAATATTTCACTGATCAGTGAAATATGTGATGACAGTTGTCAGAGCAAACAAAACCATTTAGCCCGTCGGAGTACAGAGGACACGACTCAAAGCTGGTTAGCTGAACTAGTTCCCTTGAGACTGCTTTGGTGACCCTAAGGCTCTGGTTTGGCTTCTCTCTCTTCTCCAGGCCTCAAAGAGCTAACACTGAGCGCCAACCCGGGTGTCACAAGCAAAGGCTGGGGACGCTTGGCCATTGCCGTGGCTCACAGCTCACAGCTTCGCGTGCTGAACCTGGACTACAACCCCCTAGGTAAGCTGAGGGGGCAGGGGATGATGCACTCCTGCTTCAGCATTTGTGCTGGTGGGTGGCTGGGGACCGAGCTCTTGAAGGGTGGCAGAGCATCACCAGCAGGATGGAGCAGTTTTTTGCATAAGTCCCTTCTGGTCCCCAGCACCCGTGCCCTGCAGGGAGGTGCAGAAAGGAGGTTGTGCCTTGCCCGCTCCACCGCCTTTGTCGTCACATTTGACCCTCTGCATCTCCCCTGTTCCTGAAGCCCTGGGCAACGATGCTGGCTTGGCAGATGCAGTGTGTCACCACGCTCCCCCCCTTCATCTTCCAGGCAGAGAAGGGAGGAGGAGGAGGAGAGCCTGGCACTCGTTGCCATAGAAACCAACTCTCTCCAGCTCTGCTGCAAGGTGGTGAGGAGGAGACCAGGCCATGCCTCCCTGAGCATCAGCAGGGCACTCCCCTCCTCACCCCTTCTGGAAACAGAGTCGCCCTCCAAACCCTGTCTGTGTAACCAGGTGCCTCCTCTTGGGCCAGAAAGGCCCCAGCGCGTTACCTGACAGCAGCTTGTTCTTTTTTTTCCAAGCGAAGGTGTCACAGCTATATGGTATCTTGGCACTCACCAGGGAATGTCAGAACACACTGGAATCTCTTCACCACCATCAATCTTTAATGCTCCTGGTCCTGCTGTGTCCACCCCCAAGAGTCTACCCTCTTTCCAGGGAGGCAGTCCATCAGCAGGTGCAGTCTCCTCTGTCCGCCTCCAACCTTCCCCTAGACTGAGGCATTCAGCTCCTTATTCTGCATCTGGGATGCCTTACATGGATTGTTAAAGGCCCTTGCATCCTTGAGTAGGAAGGAGATTTGGGAAGATACGGTTCCTTGGGGTATGAAAACAATTTCACTGCGTTCCATCACGTTCCCTCTGATAATCAGTGCCTGCTGCCATAACCACGAAATGGTGCGCCTTGACCTTGTCTCTTTTCTCAGTTAACAGCTTTTTTTTCCCCCCAAGGTAACTGGGATTTGGAGGTTGTCTGATGGCAGAAATGTTCAGAGGATGTTTCCATGAGAGCCCCAGGCCCATGAGGGCATCTGGTATTACCTGAGGGTAGGCAGGTACTGCTGACAGCCCTGGTTTGCTTCTCCTACAGGTGACCAAGTAGCAGGGATGCTCGCTGTCGCTGTGGCCTCCAGTCGAACCCTCGAAGTTCTGGACTTGGAGGGAACAGGACTTACCAACCAGTCAGCCCAGGTATGAGAGCCTACAGTCACTCTATAGGGTCACTGACATCTCAAGGGCGTAGATCTTGGCTGTCTATAGAGGCTTTAGGATCTATACCTGCCTCCATCCCCCTCCCCAGTCCACATGCACCCCTTTCCCTCCCTGCACCCAGGGGTGCTGTTGCTTTCCCCTACCCTGTTGCATTTGGCCACAGGAGGAGCTCGTAAGCCACAGCTCTGACCTAGGGCTCCTGGATGTCCCTCAAGTCAGCAGGGAGAAACACGTGGCTCTACTTGGTAGTTTGGTTTTCTTGGAAGAAGTAAGGGGTTGGACTTGTGACTGAGGATCAGAGCTAAAGCTCTGTGGACAGATAGAGGCCAAGGCTTGGTAGCACAGGCTCCCGTCTCAGAGCCCCAGCTCCCAGTGGTAAGAGGGGACTAGCCTGGATATGTGGCAGCAACAGGGTGTAGAGCCGTCCCTTGCTCTTTAGATAGAGCCAGGAAATCCAGGCTCAGCTCTTCCCACAGAAAGACGGGAAGTCCTCAGGCTCTCAGAAAGCCTGGAAAAGGAAGGTCAAGGCCAAGGGAAGGTAGAGGTAAGAAGAGGAGGGCTAGAGTTTGCAGGGAGGCAGAGCATTGAAGCTCTTTCTGCTCAGCCTAGCTGATGTTTGTGCTGCTTGTCAACCTGTTTATCTTGTTCTCCACCCAGACCTTGCTGGACATGGTAGAGAATTACCCCACAGCCCTACGGACACTCATCCTGGCGGAGAACAACATTAGTCCCGAGCTGCAGCAGCAGATCTCTGACCTGCTCTCAGAGGGTGAGGAAGAGGAGGAGACAGAGGCTCGTGAAGTCACAACCAGGGAGAAGAACCCCTGGATCTGCCAGAACAGTAAGAGCTCCGGGATCTGGGCTGCGGGCAGGGGCTGACAGGCAGGAATTGGGGTGTCTGCACCACTGGTCTCTCGTGGTGGGGTTGGCGAATGGGGTCTGTTCCTTCTCCCTGTGAACTGGAATCCAGACAGCCTCCAGGCGCAATCCTCACGTTAAATAGCATTGGGCTGAGCAGTGCTTGGAAAGGCAGCCTCCCAAGGACACTGCGGCTGCTGCAAAGAGTGGGAACGGTACCTCAGAGGCATTTTCCCTGATGCTGCAGGAACGAAATCTTTGTGCAAAGTCTTAAAACTCAAGGGCAGGAGCATTAAAGATATCTGGGGCCTTTGCCAGATAATCCTAGCCAAAACTCATGTCATTCCTCACTGCTTCCAGAAACTCCATGCAATCCGCACAGCATCAGCTATGCCTATCTCTGCATCCCAAACGTGTGAAGGGTTAGCCAGGTGCCACAGCCTGTCTGTTGCTTGCAACAAAAAAAAAAAAGGTATATTATGGAGATAGCAGGAGCCCATTGTGTATTGTTTGTATATATGATATCGTATATTGTCATGCCTACCTTGTGATCCTGATGGGTTGGGGGATTTGGGGTTATTTTACCTTTAGTTGTCCTTCCTCCCTCCCAATTCTCATATCAGACGAGCAGCAGACGACTACAACCACTCCCTGGGCCTCAAAACATCTGGATCCTCATTTATTAGAACCATAAAAATCCTTTACTGACAGCTCTGGCCAAGTTTTGGATCCAGTTTCCAGAAATTGATCCCCAAAACAGAGACCCTCCCATGCAGCAGTTTTGAATGTGTAGGACTCCGGATCTCCTCCCTCACGTCCAGGAAAAAACAAATTTTTTTCTGTTTAAAAAGGCTTCTGGATGGGAAACTGGTACCCTGCTGAGTTTCTTACTTGTTATGCGTGCCAGTCCTCCTTGCAGCTGATTCACTTGGCGTGGGGAGAGTCGCAGCGTTCCTGGCTGGTGCTCTGTGCTGTCGCAGAGCCAGCAAGCTGCCCTCACCTTCCTGAGGCAGGCAGGGGAGGGCTGCACAAACCCTCCATTCATGCAGCACAGAAAGTCAGGATTTCCAGGCCTCTGCTGCCATAAAATGGCTGCTTGCCCGCTGTGTTCCCTGCTCTTGTGAAGGCAACACCATCACCCTCCGTGGGTTTGGTTGGCTTGCAGCCTGCCAGCCCATCCCACCTGGACGCTGTCTCTCTAGCTGAAAAGACACTCGGTGAGTGCAGATTTAAAGGTCTTGCACAGGGCTGGGTAAGGGTGGGCTTGGGTCAGCACAACCAGTATCACCTGCAAGTATATGTGGGGAGGGTTCAGAGCCCATGTTTCTTTCTGACAGCCAAGATAACACATGCAGGTTCCCCCCCCCCGGGCTCTTGCTGCTGCCTCTGCTTCCTCCCCCTCCCCAAACATCGATTCTGTTCTGCTGCGTGGCCAGAGTAGACCTAGTTACAACTTAATCTCACAATCCTCTCAGCAGTTTGCTTCCCACCCTGCAGTGCTCTAATTCCTCATCCTCACCTCTGGATCTGGAGTACAGCTCCGCACTCTCCGGCAGCCCAAACGGCTCACGGTTTTCTCCCTCTCTCGCCACAGGTTCCAGCTCCCAGATGGTCCTGATGACATCAGGTCTTGGTGACAGCCTCTTAGCAGAAACAGAAATGTAGCTGGGCTACCCTGCCTGCTTCTGCTGAGAAGAGCACCGTGCCCGCTGGGGGAGTGTGCGTCTGCCAGCCCCCCTGCCTCCAGTGGGCTGCCCCAGCTGTCTTCTCACACATTTCACGTCCTGTTGATGCCTCCCTCGGCTCTCTGAGTGCTGGAGCCTGGTCTGAGTGAATCTCTACACACATCTCTGTGTTGTCACGCGCCCTGTTGGCCGCTTGTGATTGTCCAGTCGCTGCATGTGTAGCTCCACGCTGCCCTGCCCCCCCCCTCCATTCCCCCACCGCCTGGCTGTGCCCGCAGGGTGCAAGGCTGTATTTATTCAGATGTGTATAAGAGATGTTCTTTCTATTGCTTGTACTGCTGTCGCGATGAGAGTTTTATAAAGGTCACAGACGTGGCACCACTCACGGTGGCGTGAGCCTCCATCACGCTGCGTCCCCGGTGGGACAGACACCGATGGGTACCGGCAGCTGCCCAGCGACAGGAGCAGGCAGGAGCTGCCCTGGGGGGCTCAGAGCACCGGCAGCTGTCCCCCTAGGCCTTCCCTCTGGCTAGAGCCCATCTGCAGGGAGCTTGGCACCAGCCCTGCACCCTCCGGTGCAGCCCACAGCAGCACTGCGGGTTTCACTGCTCTGCCAAGCGCCCCTTGCTGGAGCTAGGCGAGGAAGATTGTGTTTCAAGACTCTGATTAGGTGGAAGATTAAATTGTGGCAGTAGCTGCTACTCAAGGGAACACAGAATAAAATCATTAATTATGGGGACAAAGAAACAAGAAACTCTTCCTGTGTTACGCTTTGCATACATCTAGGTCAGAAGGGCACAGGCAGCCTAACTTGGGAGATGGAAGAAATTTCATCACTGCCCCCTCTGACCTCTGCAGCACCATTCAACATTTAAGAGAAAGCTCTTCCAAATGTCCGTATCAGCACCCTACAGGAACTCCCTTTCATGTTTGGAGGGCTTCCTATCTGGGTTATGTCCTATCAACCCCAATCTTCCCTCCTCACTTGAAATAAAAAACTAAAAATACTGACACTAGAATTACAAAACTCTTCGGAACTCCAGGGAGGGGGTATGTTACATGTTCCCAGATAACTCAGTTTCTGAAGTGGAGAACGGATATTCTCACATGACTCCGAGAGCTGGGGCTTCAAGAAAATCAACAAATATTAAAAGAATTAGCTACACCTCGTCCTACTCTAGATCAGCATGTGGACGTCTTTGACAAGACACAGACTGGACAGGACAGCCAGTGAAATACTTGAAATGGGGTAGGCAGAATTTTGAGTCACACTGAGGCTGCTTACAGTTGCCTGGTTAAATAAGCTGCCCTTTTTTTAAGCCACTGTCAGCTTCCGAGTCAAAAGTGCTGCTGTGAACAATGGATTGTGGTCTGCAGGCTCAAACTGATCTTTGAGTCTACATTCAGACCCACAGCGCAGTTTCCAGAGCTTGGATACAATTAAAGAAGTAAAACATGGCTCATCCCACATACCCCTCTTTGCCTGGGGCTGAGCCTCTTCTCCAAGACAGATGACTTGATTTGCACAAGCACCTTGAACCAGGCTGCTGCTAAAGTGGGCACTCAGGCTGACCAGTGCCTTCACAGCCTCCTGGAAAGCTTACAGGTCACAGGATTGCTCTCCCTGGGAGAGCTAGTGTGTGGCACACACCGTTCAACAATCTCGGGGACATTGTACCACGAGAGACTCTGCTGCCTTGGATGCTCAGGAAGGGTCCGGTCCAGGTCTTAACCAACAGAGAGAACACTATAGGCATTGCCACCTACTTTTAAAATAGTTTATTTCTGGTCTTAAAATATACATCAGTTTGAAAATTTCAGAAAAAAACCACATTAGTTACAGATTAACAGTCTGGAGTTGGGACACTGAAAGTGGGGTCAGCTCAAGGCCCCAGAGCCAATACTGCAGGAGGTGAGCAGGAGTGCAGAGGGCAGGCACCATGCCTGCCAGGAGAGGGCCCTGCTCCTCTTGAGGCCACCGCTCCCCCTCAACCTCTGCCAGCAGCCTAATGCTGAGAAGCAGAAATGTCTGGTGAGGCGCTGGGCAGCCCTTTGCCACCCCGCCATTTCTCCACTGTTTTGCTTTTAAGTCTACCTTGACCAGAAGCAGAGGGAGAGGCTGGCTCTGCCCAGCACCATCAGCACCAGCTGCTTCAGCAAGAGTGGGTTTTGTCCCCTGACCAGCATGCCAGGATTCAGGGGAGAGGGGGCTGCGCCCTGAGGGACAATGCCTCCCCTGCTGCCCAAGTGGCTGTGCTGTCCCACAGGTGGGCCACCAGCAGCCTCAGAGCCAGAGGAGCTCACTCAGTGAGGATCCAACCCCAGGTGATGCCCGTGAGGGTGAGCTGGCAGCCACTGCAGGCGCGAGCCCCCAGCAATGCTGCAGAAGGACAGAAGAAATGCAGCACTGGAGTGGCTGATGAGTGCAAACGCAAGGACCCCACCACCACGTTCAGGACAGGGGAGATGAACACCCTGCAGGCTCAGAAGAGGCTCCCATTCTCAGCACCAGCCTGTTTGCACAGTTAACCAAGCGAAATACTGTAGTGAAATACTGAGTCCCACCTCTCCGCCAGAGGGTGGCATCCAGCTCCACAACTGTTCGAGGTGGAAACAAGGCGTAGGTGTAGGCAGCAGTTCTAGCCAGGGTACATAAAGCAACCTACACAGCTGCCAGAGAGGCCTGCAGCTCCCTTTCATGGGCCCTGGAGCCTCCAGGCTCAAGCTGAAGCCCTGGCTGGCCCCAGCTCCTTTGCAGAGACCAGGGTTTAGTGAGAGGAGCAGGGCCCCCAAGCAGCTCTTAGCTGAGCATCTTGCTGTAAGCATATGAACGGGAGCTCCCTCCTGGACAGAGGGCTGCTCTCCTACAGCCCAGTGAAGAGCCCTCATTGAGTAGGGTGGGAGGACAACACAAACCCAACTCAAAAACCAGACAGCAGGCTGAGGACAGCCAGGAGGGTTTGAGGGGTGCATGGCACAGGGAACCAGGCTATTCTCTGCCTTGCACCCCCAGGAGAGCCAAGAAACACCAGACAGACGAGGGCACAGGACAAAATTAAAACAGGACTCCTGGACTTGGTAAGCCCTCAAAAAAATACCTACATCTACAGACCTCTCCCCTTCCCTCCCCCCCAACAAGACACCGAGCACACAAGACTGAGAAGAAAAGTCACACAGCATCACGCTACACTAGGACAAACACGCAGAGAGGCCCTACCCAGAAGGGGAGGCCCCAGAAAGGCACCAGAGCCAGCCTGGAGCCCCCCAGATGAGGCGGCATGCGAGGAGACCCTGGCAGAGGGCTGCTGCAGAGCTGTGAGGTAGTGCGTCTACACGGAGCAGCTCCTCAGCACGCTGCCCTCGCATCCCTGCCGGCCCTGCACCGAGCCCTGCCCAGAAAAGCCCAGTAGCGTCCTTCACGCCTTGCTCGCCTGGGGTGAGACCTTGTTCTGAAGTCTGGAGGGGTTTCTGCAGGCTGGAGGCCAGGATCAGAGGGAAGCACAGCTCTGAGAGCTGAGCCTCCTCAACACACCCTCAAAGCAGGCATCCGACCGGCTGCCAACGGCTGCGTCTGTTTATGCAGGGCGGGGAGAAAGAAAAAACAATACACCCAAAACCAAAGGCTTGGAAAGAAGAAAGAAGCCCACCCAAGAGCAAAGCATCAGCACCATTCAAACAAAACAACAGCACAGAGAGCGGGGGAAGAGGTGCGAGGGAGGAGACGCACAAACACAAACCCCAGCACCTAGCAAGGCAGTGCCTCCCCGAACCACCTCGGCAGACAGCACCCATGCCCCACGCCGCAGCACCAGCATCCGTGCGTTGCCTCAGCGGGGGCTGGGTGCTGAGCCTGACGCAGGAGCCAAGCGATGGGGACCTGCAGAGGCAGATTCTGGAGAACCACCCAGAGGGCAGCCGGGGAAAACAAAACCCAGCAGGAAAATGAGACACCAGCAATCCCAGCACATCCCCAGGGGCCCACAGCCATCCGCTGGGAGAGTCCTCGTGCCCCACTCACAGCCCCTGCGGGCTCCCAGAAATCAGACACCACCACGCAGGCACTCTGCCCTGTTGGCACAAGTTAAAAGAGAGCAGAGCAGCTGTGGGCAACCAGCATGAGAGCACCCAGGGCCTCAGGTACCTGAGTGGGAAGGGGGAAGGAAGATGTGAGCATAAAGAGGCACAGGCACCAGGACGAGGGGTACCCAGAACAAGCTCCGGTACAGGCACCAGTGTGAGGCTGTGAAGAGAGCTGTGAGTGTGCCGGGGCAGTGAGTGTGCTTCTGCACGCTGTGTGTGCTAGTACTGTGGGTCTGAGGTGCCGGGGAAAGGAGACCCCAGCTCTTCCAGGTAGCAAAAGAAGAGAATAAATATAAAATTTCAGAGCAGAGCCCCCCTCCCAGGAGGAGGGTACTAAGGGAGGTTTCTCCCTCAGAAGGTGGACAGATGGAAGCATCCCACAGCTCTGCAGCGTGTGGCTGCTTCTTGCCCTGCCTCAGCTGAGAAGGTTGCCCTGCTCCTGCGCTTGCGTCAGACTGTCCTTGCGATGTAAGTGGTGGACCCCCATCCTCTTGGGGCTGCGGTGTGGCCGACCGAATGGAGGCTTGACCCTGCCTTCTCCGCTTTCTTCTTGGGTACCTCCTTGGTTGCTCTCCTTGCTTCCCTGGAGCAACATTTCTCTCTCCTCAGCTGGGCTCTCAGGCAAGCCAAGGTCCACATAGTCCTTGTGCTTCTCTGGTGAGGGGCTTCCAGCCTCAGCAGCGCCTCCACTGCTTTCCTGCAACAGCTTCTGGGCTTCATCCTGGGAGAAATCTGTACCATAGTCCGAGGAGAAATGGCTCCTGCGGGCTCTGGACTCGGTGCTGTCTGTGTCCACGCTCGAGTCTCGGCTCACGGTCCAGCTGCAGCTCTGCGCAGACTCCTCACCATCCGAGTAAGCCGAGGCTGCCCTACCCAGCTCCTGCATGGAGCAGCTGAACCTCTTCTGGAGCTCAGGGGCTGTGTCACGGCTGAAGGCTGTGCGGTTCATCAGCACCCGCTCTGAGGTGGGGGGTGCCTTGTCCACAAACATACGCTGCCAGTTGGCCAGCAGGTCCTCCTCGGAGCTGGCAGAGCTGGCAAAAGCGCTCGGGATTTGGGGAGGGCTGCTGAATGGGCTGCTCTGGGAAGAGCCGTGAGCCCTGGCTGCTTTGGGGGACTGCTGACAGGAGCAGCTGGAGGCCGAACGGCGCCCTTCTGAAGCAGGGCTGTTGGGGAGCATTCGGTGCCTGTCGCAGCTCTCATCTTCGCTCTGTACCAGGCTGAGGGAAATGGCCTGGCGCGTAGCATAGGTACAGTTGGGCAAGGGGCTGTTCTTAGGGATTCTTACCTTGTCCTCAGAGAACTCAATCACTTTGCGCCCAGGGTACATAGGATGGGGAGGTGAGGGTGTAGGGTATGGGCTTAGCTTTTCAAAGGCAGGCACCTCCTCCGGCATGCTTTCCACACTGCTCTGCGGCTTGCAGCCACCATTCTGCTGCTTCCCCACATCTCCTCCCTCCTTCCCCACCTGCCCTGCATTGTTGCAGGCATCAGGAGGGGCTCCACTCATGTCCACATGCACAAAGACATCCTCAGCCATGGGACAGCTGCCACTGCTAGACTTGGCTGAGTTCAGAACCAGAGATTCTGGTTTCTCCAAGACTCTGGCAATGACTGAGGTGGGTACAACATCAGAAGGAGCCAAGGTGTGGGTTGCCTCTTGACCAGGGCCTGTGGACTCCTGAGTGCTGTGCAAATGCTTATTGACCATGTCCTGCAGCTCATAGGGAAGCTAGAGAGAAGGAAAAGGACATTAGAAGGGGGCTGCCATGCAAACCATTTAGTTCCAAATAATCTGCCTTTTCCAAACAACCTTCATGTGTACTTTGTATTCCTCATCTCGACCCTAACTTTCATCTACCTGTCTTGAGACAGGTACCTCTTTCCAAAGCAAACCTGCCCCATGAGGGACTAACAAGGCTCTCTGTCACACCAGTCATGTTTCTAGGCTGTGGTTCACAGGCCCCATTTTGCAAAGACAACAAGAAAATACGGCACACGGTCTCAGTCCCCCACGCCTGTGAGCGGAGAGACAAGGCCCAGCCAGCGCATGTTAGGAAGGGGTCTATTGATCTGTGGAAAATCAGCCAGTGGTTGCACTGAAGTGACTCAACAGCCCCCAGTGCTGGGATCCGCAGTGCTCCCCGAATGTGGTAATTGCAGCCATGCTGCCTTGGCAGCCTGCCCGCAGACCAGAATCAATGCCTTCCCTTGTTCACACCAATGCCACCACCTCATCCCACTTCCTCATTCTGTCCATTTCAGAGAGGCAAACATGGGGTTTATTACCAAAGCTGCAGGACCTGGGTGTCAACAGGGAGTAAGCACTGCTCCTTGTCCTGCAAATGGGCACTACTGCTCTCCTCATCACCCTGCCAAGCTGCCCTCACCTTGGTCACCACACCCACACAGAGCACGAAGTGGAGAGCAGAGCTCCACCAGGCTCCACAGTGGCACAGCAAGGTCTGTCCCATCACAGCCAGAAGGAAACTGCATCCAAAGCTGGGGACGTAGGGCACACTGCGTGACAACAGCTGGCTGTGAGGCAGACTGTCCATACAGCTGCTCAGCACCAACCCCTCTCCAGTGGCAGCCATGTGGGATGCAGTGCTCCGGGGGGCAGAAATCAAAGCTCCAGGGAGGGGAGACAGCTGGGAGAGAGGTCAAGGTTACCCCAGCAGTAACTGATACATTGACCTCAAGAGTGCTAATTTGAGACACAATGGGGGAGGGGGAGGGTGACATATTGGTCACCTGCTAAGTTAAAAGAGACAAGCGCATGGTTTCGCCGAGAGGAACATAAGGAGGGATGGAGACTAGGGGTACAGCAAAGAGAGAGCTCGGATAAGGGCCTGAGTGATACTTCCAACCAAAGAAGTGATGCTACTAATATGAAAGGCCTAAACTCTCTCTTTGCCCAACCTGAGGGCAAGATGATCTTAACAGGCCCCACAAGGGCGAGTATGAGTTGGTACCAACTTATCCCATTCAGGAGGCCTAAAAGACACCCCGAGTGCTACCTCCCACATTTCTCCTCAGAGCAAGTAATAAGGCAGGGCCAGGCTACCTCTGCTTTACTCCTTATCAGGCAGTGTGGCCCTTTTGTGTGGCCAGGTGAGGAAGGGAAGAGGACAGAGCAGGGTAAGAGATAGGTCTGTCCTCCTGCCAGCTCCCATCAGGCACCCAGCAGGCTATCAAATTCAAGGTTATTGTGCTTTTTATAACAGCTCCTGGCTGAGCTGTGAAATGGAGCTTGCATGAAAGAGGAGCTGGCAGAGGCTCTGTGCTGCCTTCTCAGTGGGAGTGGGACGAAGAGCCCCCCCCGCCCCATCTGAGGCTGAAGGATGAGAGGCCAACAGCCCTGCAGAGAAAGCAAGATGCAGGAGGAGACCATGAGCCCTTTATCCCCACCTCAGCAGGACTGCTACTCACATCAGCAAACTTGTGGTTCCTGAAGTGGGACTTGTTACACTTGAGCAGCTGTACTGCAAGATTACAGTCCTGTCGATAGCGTTCCTGCAAGAAAAGAGCACAGGTGTGCAACAGCATCAGACTGGCCTGACCTCTTAGCCAAAAAGGCACCACCTGACCAGATGCTGCTTGAACAGAAGCAGGAGGAGGCATCTGATGAGTTGCTCATGCGGACACCTGCCACTCCCTCCTCCCCACACCCCTGTGTATTTTCTTACAACTCAGCCAAGGTGTTCCTTTCAACTCCAGCACTTGCTCCAGGCATATGTTGGTCAGTGTACCAACCCCTCTCCCTCTGGGGATTTTAATAATCTCCAGAAGTCCCACCAGATTTGCTATCCCAATCCCAGAGCTCTCAGCCATGCCTGAAGACACTGCCTGATGTCAGGCATCTTGCAGACACACTGGAGGGAGTTGAGAGCAGTTAACAGAAACAAGCACCGGATCCAGGAACTTCTATATTAATGCTGTAGAAAAAGCATCAGCTCCCTCCCAGCTCTAGAGTAAATGACCCCGCTGTTGGTACAGCCTGGACTCAGGTCAAGCCCTAAGCTCAAAGGAGCAGACTCGAAGATCAGTTCTTCCTTGCTCGACCCCTCAGACCCTTTTCTGTTTGTCTGTCCCTACTGTTGTGTGCAGCTCCCACACCTTCATATGCACTGAAGTCGTTCACATGTTCCTTTACACTAATGACTTTGAACAAGAGGAAAAGCCTACACCTCACACACTTCCGCAACCATTTGCAGACCAACACTTACGTTGAGTTCCTCCAGCTTATTGATGGTGGTTTTGGCATCAAGCAATTTATTAGTGAGCTCTACAATCTCCCAGTCCAGCGTCTTGCGGTCCATCTCTGCCTTTTTAATCTGGGATGCAAGAACACCAGATGTAAATCTCCCCAGCACAGAAGAACCTGGCTTCACCACCCACCTCAGCCCAAGCATAGCACAATGACACGTTCAGCTGGGATACAAAAAGTTCCAGACAGACAAGGGGGACAGCCTGGCTCTTCACCAAGGGAGGGACTCCAAAGGCCAAATGGAGCCAGCCACTCTGCTAATTACATAGACAATGGGTTGAGTTTGAACCTCCTTAATGCAGTATCTCTTCTTCCAGCACACCCATGTTTCCTCTCTGCCCTGGCTGACACAGTGCCTGGTGGAAAGACTAGTTTTGAGCAGTCAATCCCATCCTGCCACCGGCAGCAAATACCTGTGAGCTTGTCATACCTGGCCCTCTTCTCTGGGGCAACAGAACGAGAATACTGCCCATAAAGATCCAGCAGTCAATGCTGAATGGACAAAAGGTTTGTTTGGCAGGGAGAGGGCACCATCTTCAAAGAATTCTTACTCTAGTAAGAAAAAGGACCTGTGCAACTTCATCTGGATCTTAGTTAATGCCTTCCCTAAAGCAGGCAATCTTGCCTCCTTACACTTGCTAACAGTTCAGGTACAGGGCTGATAGAGACCCAGATGTAACAGCAGAGAGGGGCAACAGCTCAGAACAACCAAGCCATCCTCTTCTCAGGAAGTTCCTCCAACAATTCCCCAGGCTGCTCCGAGGCTGTGACCACTAGCGCCCAGCTGTATGTCAGGGGTACAGCCCAGTGCCACACCAGGGGGTAGGGGAGGACAATGCTTCCCACATATGCAGTCTCTTCAGGCACCAGCACAAGAAATTCAAGTGCTAGAACCAAAAAAATTCTCACCCTGGGCTACACAGAGGCAATCAGCATCTCAGCTGTTTGACTTGCCTGCTCACAGCCCAGAAGGGCAAGAAAAAGGAGCAAATGAGGCTCACAGCCATCCACATCTTATGCAGTGCCACAGCTTATGGGCACCACTTCCCAGCACGCCATGCTCCAGCTGGCTCACAGTCAAACGCTCTTAAGATGGAGCACTGCAAGCTAGGACCTGCTGCATCTGCGGGCAGCTGCTGGATACCAGGTGAGCCCTTGGCTGGACGAGGGCTGGGGCCCCTCCATCTGGGATTGTGTATGTGGGGCTGACAATGAAACCAACAGGCTGAGACACGTAAAGAGGAAAAAGAAAAAACACACAAACGAAAAGACGCAACTGCAAAAATCCAGCTTTGGCTGAGAGAGGCCTGAGAGGTGAGTGCACCCAGCGTGTGCCAGCGGCAGCATGGGGAGAAGAAAGAGAGAGAGAGAGAGGGGGAGGGAGAGAAAAGAAACAGCCATGAGTGTTATGAATGCACACAACAGACATACACGCACATTGGCTCTGCTCTGACTGCCCCCGTCCTCCCAGGATGACCACCCCAAGACTGGCTGACACATCCCTGGCATTTTGAGAGGGACTGAAGCAACACGACGGAATACCATGCAATTATGTTGTGGGGAACCAAAGCTCACGTGCATGACCAAGTAGGGGCTCAGTAAATCAAGAAACCAGTTCATGACACCAGCCAGAATGGGGAGTAGATGGTCATGGCCAGAATATCACCCCTCACCCACTGCCACATCTGATGGGTAAAGCCAGGACCCCTTCCCCCATCTGCTCCTAACACACAGGTCTCTTCTACCTCCTCTCTGTAGTATCTTAATAGGGCACTTACCAGGGCATGCAGCTTCTCCTCCAGGTCTTGGTTGGTTCTCTGGGAAGCAGTGTAGCTGTTCTGCAACCTACAGAAACAAGATATACATGGGAATGGATCTCAGGCACCTACTCAAGCCACCTTCATAGCTGCCAAACCAACCACCAACTCCGCAACTCCAGAAAGATTAGTATTCACAGTATTAAGACAACCATATTAACTATGCCTCACCTCTGCCACATAATGGCCTTCAGACCCCAAGTTACTGGAGGCAAGATGAGGCTGGCTGGGTGAACGGATCATAGAATCACAGAATCATTTGGTTGGAAAAAACCTTTAAGATCCATACCTGTCTCCTACTAAACCGTGTCTCTAGACACCTCGTCTACCCATCTTTTAAATACTTTCAGGGGTGGTGACTTGACCACTTCCCTGAGCAGCCCATTCCAGCACCCGATAACCCTTTCAGTGAAGAAATTTTTCCCAATATCCAACTAAATCTCCCATGGCACAACTTGAGGACATTTCCTCTCATCTTATCACTTATTACTTGGGAGAAGAGACCAATCCCCACCTCGCTACAACCTCCTTTCAGATAGTTGTAGAGGGTGATAAGGTCTCCCCTCAGCCTCCTCTTCTCCAGGCTAAACAACCCCAGTTCCCTCAGCCACTCCTCATAAGACTTGTGCTCCAGACCCCTCACCAGCTTCGTTGTCCTTCTCTGGACATGGTCCAGTGCCTCAATGTCTTTCTTGTAGTGAGGGGCCTCCATCTTGCAGGGGAGGATGTGAATAACTTTGGAGGACTCCTCTGAGCTTTGTCACATATAAAGCATGTGACCAGTGACTGGCACTGATTTCTAATTGAGGTACTTTTCAGGTAAAGTGGCAATGTATTTTCTTGCAGCCATCAGTGGCTCCTTTTGCACATATAGGATAACCATCCAAGTTGGATCCTGCCTTACATCTAACAGATGAAGAATTCCCCTTGAGCTGGCAGCATTCCTACACTGTACCCTAGAAAAAGTAATGGCTGCAGACCCTTTAACTCCCCTACAGTCTGGGGGTCCACCTTTTTGGGGATGCAGCATGCCTTTGATTTATACAACAGGGCACAGGCGGCTCATGCCAGCTGAGGGTCCTTGGCGGAAGGAATCTCTCTAACACCACCCCCCTCTCTTGTTTTCTTTTTCATACCTACGGAATTTGTCCTTGAATTTTTCCAGCTCCTCCCGGTTCTGGCCCAGCTCCATCTCCAGGTAGTCCTGACCCGACTCCAGCTCCCTCTCCATCGCCTCCATTTTGTTAGTCACATATGTCAGCCGTCGGCGCAGCTCCTCGTTCTCATGCTGCAGTAGCCTGGAGCACACAGGAACAAGGTACCACTGAGTGCACAAGGGGTCCTCCACACCAGTACCCCCATGCCGCTGCCCTGATCTAGGGCCCAAGGCCCCACGTAGGGGCCCTGGAAGTCAGGAACTGAACTGGCAGGAGACTCCAGCACACGCAGCAAGAGGTGCATCTCTGTCAGGAGAGGGAGACTCAAACTCTCTTGGAGCAGGGGCAAAGAAGCATATGCCAGCTGGCCAGCCATGGCTCCCAGCTCCTCCTTGGGTTACAGTGTTTGCATAAAGCCCACTAGCCAGATGAGCTGCGCAGCTCCAGTGTCCCTTACTGGTGAATGAAACCCACTCAATAATTTATCCCAGTCCAGGTTAGAAGAGTCGAAGGCAAAAAGAATAAAACCATCTCCTCCTCCCCTGAGACTGTTCAAAAGCCCTCACATCTTTAATACACTGTGGAAAGAGGACTCCATACAGCCTTAAGCCCAGAAAGAGAGGTGGTGGGGTGCATTTACAGATATGATCACAGCTGTCAGTCACCCCCATTCCAACACAAACTGTTCCATTCCTCCCCAGCCAGGACATGCCTGGTGGTCAGAATGATTTCCTGTTGTTTTTCATTCCTTTGTGCTCCGTTGCTCTGAGAAACCCAGAAGCACAGCTTCTCTCTGGCAGTACAAGGTTTCTCCTCACTGTGGTTTGGAGCTCAATGATGGAAGCTGCGTGTGCCCCACACCAACAGCAGCAAAGGGCTCAGCTCTCACCCTTAGTCAGCAGCAGGCCTCTGCATACTGTTTCTGGAGGCTTACACCAGAACACTGACAACAACAAGAAGGGTTAAAAAAGGCACTCCTCCCTCCATCTGTATTAAAGGCTTCATCTACTTTCTTTCACACCCACCATCTCCTCTGCCTGTACCTGCACTGCGGGTCTGTGTTCCCTCCTCCTTCAGGGGGAGAGACATGCAAGGCAGATGCAAGGCAGATGTTGGCAAGGCACGGACTAAAGCTCTGGCTACATGGCCCCAAGAAGGCTGAAGATGCAAGGGGAGCCTGCAGGGCCAGTAAGCTTTGCTGTGCAGGTGGTGCAGGCAGGATGTGAGGAATCAGCACCCACACGACTGCAGTATGACAGGCATAAAGGGGGAGCAAGACACTTACTTCATCCTTTCTGCATCCGTCAAGGGTTCCTGCACAGGGAAGAAAACAGCTGTGAGATTCTTTCAGAAGAGGAGCCAGTCTCTCACACTGTCCTAAGGGGCAGTCTTGGTTGCTAGACCCTACCCATGACTCTTCCTCACCTGCTCTCACAGGTCATGCTAGGCAAGCTTAGAGCTGCTAGGGTCTGTAACACACTGCTCAGCTGTCTGATACCAAGACAGACTGTGTGTTCTGCTTCAGGTTAGAAGAGCTAGACTAGAAACCACCACACAAGCTAGGTAACTTTACTGTCCCACAGTGCAATCGCAGCATCTCTTGTAACATCGTCACCTTAGTTGGTGTTTCAGCTTCCTCCACATCCAGTTAGTGGGTAGCAGGAATCTCACAGGCCAGCATACACTGAGGATTAAATTGTCACCACAGCAATCACAATGCCCTTGAAGACCCACAAAAGGCATGAGAGAGAATTATTTGGGAGCTGAAAAATGTGTCCACCATTTACACCACCTAGGTTGGGCTGTGAAAAGGGTTTCTTTCTGCAGACCTGAAACCAGGCATTGTAACTATCCTGGGATAGCAGAAGAAACACCAAAGCTCAGAAAAGCCCATGAAAGAAATTAATGTTCCGGGCAAGACCCCCCGAGATGGCTGGAGGGGGGACCTGCAGAACATGGAGACACCATGCAGCGACAAGAACACACAGCTCAGCTATTCTCACATCCTTTGCACTCTTCTGTGTTAACCCATGAGATGGCTGCTGCCTGCCAGCATGGCTGGGAGAGATTTATTTAGCCCTAGAAGCAATCGTATTTTCTGTGAAAGCCCAAGACTGTGACCACTCTCACAAAATCCAAGCTGCCCATGGATTATTTTTGGTGCTTGGTACCAGCAGCACTGCACAAACCCACACTTTAGATTCTCTATTAAATGTCACAGCCAGCTCTAGGCTTAGAGGCTGTGCCACAGACAGCTGTGGATGAGGTCGTTGAGCTGCTAGCAATATTACCGAAGGCAAACCACTTCAGTCCTGGCCCTAAGACATCATGGGGCTACTTCCTTTATCAATTCACATTTTAAAAGAATGGTCCTTATCATCTGCATACATCCTCCTGTTCCTAAAGGCAAATCATCAATCCATTCTTTTCTTACATCCTGACCCCACATGGCAATTGGTTAATTCAGGCAGAATTATCTAGCAACTGCCTCCCCTACCCCCACAAATACACACACAGCAGATGCTAGTGACCAGGTAAAGTGGATAATGTGATTCCTACTAAAACAAGGCAATGGCCCCAAAGTAGGCTGGAGAAAAGAGGAGAAGGCTTACGAAGACCTGAAACAGCCATCACACAAAGATCCAGTACCCCAAGACAGCCAGGCACAGGGCACACACAAAGCACCAGGAGCATCTCAACACCTCCTGACAACAGAGCTGCCTGCCTCCTGCACACACCTGCTGCCCCGCAGCCTGGAGGTCCTCCAACCTGCAAACACCTGGAAAGTCTGCAGTGGGGAAAACAGCACCACCAGCTCCTGCCTCCCTAACTCTTAGGGCTACAGGGAAGCTGATTCGTTCCAGGAAGATATACCCAACCTGGAGCACAGCCATGAGTGGCACACACAAGAGAGCAGTTTCTGGTGATTAAGCACCCCCAACATGAGGTCTGGGGGCCTGCTCTCACTCTCCCCACTGGCAGTACAGCCTAGATGAGATCCAGGTAGGGGTTCTGGCCTTTGTGAGACCCCTGTCTGTGAGCCATTGGCCCTGGCACCTACCTTGTTTAGTGCCAGGCTGAAGGAAGGGGAGGGTCTAGATGGGGTAGGTCCCTCCTCTCGACTCCAGCGTGTTGGAGTGGAGAAGGATCCTTTCTCTGGGTAGTTCAGCTCCACTGCATGCTTCTGCCCAGGTTTAGCACACAGATGGTGTGTCTGTAATAGCTGTGAACAGGGACTGCTTTCATCCTTTCTGCCCTCTGCACTGCTTTTCCATGAAGACAGTGAGTGCTGCTGCCCAGAGGGTGTCCCTGCCAGCCCCGGGTCTGCCAGCTGCTGTAGCTCATACTGACACAGATCTACTACCCTTCTCTCCAAGGAGTGGAGTTTTTCCTTACTGTCCTTCCTCCCAAGGATGGGTTTCTTTCTTAGTCTGGAAGCTCTCTCAGCCTCCTCAGCACACTTTCTCTGGCACGAAGCCATTCCCAGCCCCTCACGTCTCTTTTCTGCTTTTCTTCTGCTTGGGCAGGAGGACCTTCCAGTTGCACGCTTGGTTTTGACCCCTTGCAGGTGACCTTGCCCTTGGCCTTCTGGCATGGAGCTTCTGGGGAAAAGGGGAGAGTTCTGGTCTTGTTCTGCTCCCCTGGTCTCTCCCAGTGAGCGCAAGCGGATGGGACTCAGCACCCGCTGGGTAATCTCATCCAGGAATTTGGAGAACTGCAGTTTTTCCTCTGTGATCTTCTCTCTGCGCTTGACAGGGTCAGTGGCACTGCTGCTGCTGTGCTCCAGTGAGGGCTTCTCCCTACGGCTGAGGCAGAGCTGGGGATCACTGTACTTGCGTGAGCCACGGCCACGGGAAAGCGTCTCTACTGAGCGGGACTTGCGTAAGCTCTCAGGGCAAGGGCCTGTCATGTTGGTCTGCTTCAGGATCCCTTTGAGAGGCAGGTGTGTAGAGGAGACCCGAAACTTCCTTGGCATCAGGACTTCAGGAGGCTCTTTAAACATAAGCGAGCGTTCCAGGCTTCTGCTCTTGAAAGAGCAAGCAGGAAGGTGTCTTTCATCTCCAGACACCACAACTGTCTCCATGCTACGGCTCACAAATTTGCTGAGGTGCCCATGACTGCGGTTTGGGCACCGCTTCCCACTTCGCTGCCCCATCTTCCCACCAGGTGGAAGTGCTGGCGAGACAGTCTGGCTCTTGATGTTCAACTCTGCTCTACACCCTGTCACTTCCTTCTCACTGCTGGACTCCAGGGACCACGATGAGAAGTTCAGGTTGCAAACCTCAAACCCCTCTGCCTGCTTGAGCTGGCCTGCCTTGGTGTAACTAAACCCTGCTTGCTGGTGCAATGGTGTTAAGCCCTTTGTCACCCGGCAAGTCGTTACCTGACTCTGCTCAGCCAAGATCACTCCATCCTGGTCGTCACGAATGATGGGTACCTCATGGCGGATCTCGCGATGCTGCGGGGGTGCCTTGCGGTAAGGCTTCTTTGATGGAGCTGTGCTTGACATCCTCCCACTTGCGTGGCTCCGAAAGCGGGTTACCTACCAACAGCAGAAAGTGCACAGAAGAGAGAGACACAGTCCCAGGGCAGGTCCCCATGCAGAGTGCTAATAGAGCAGGGAAAGGATGCGGCCATAAGCCTTGAGCAGCAGCTGCAGGAGAGGGAGCAAAGTAAGAGGTAGCTGTGTCCTTCTCCCAGCCAGTGAGAGCAGAGGGCTGGCACATCCTCTCCCCCCTCTACACACGCTCACTCACGTAGATTGTGTGTGTCCAGATTATATATAGCAAACGAGAACAGACCTCACAGCAGCATATTGATTAGGCTCTTTAGGAAAGGCCTTTTCCAATATGGAAACTGCAAGCCTTACAGGCAGCAGTGACAGCTGGAGCAGGAGTTATTGATCATGTGCTGTCACTGTCAGCAGGGACAACGTGGGAGGAGATTCCAGCCATTAAAGAGCCCAAACCCAGAAGTTTTTGGCTTACTCTGGAACCCCAATGGAGCAGACTACAGGAGGCTTGTCAGAAGGAAGTACCATACCATTACAACTGCTCACTGTCAGAAAAGACAAAGACCACCCCCAAGTCACAGAAAGACCACCCCCAAGTCACAGAAAGACCACCCCCAAGTCACAGATGGCATCAAATTAGGAAGCAATACCATTGACATGGTACCTAAGGCCCGATTTTGCAACATGCAGCAGTACCACTAGCAGAAAGACCAGATTACTCCCTTTACCCCAGCCACGCTGAGCAGGATTCTTCCTGCTGCAGGAGCAGCAACAGTAAAAGAGCAAAAAATGGGGTAGAAGGAAAGCAGCTATCTTGTATACATGGAAGAATCTCCTTCCTTTCCACTGCTTTGGGACTGCAGCGGAGGGCAGGAATACTTTGCCCCACACAGCCAAGATTTCAGCCATCCCATTGTACAGAAGACAGGAAGTCTTGGAGGTGCCAAGCAGTTCCTGCAGAGCCCGATACCAGACTTTCCACAATGACAACATACATATTGTTCATAGTCCCCCTATATTTGGGGTAAGCCCCCACTTCTCATTCCCCTTTCCCTCGCTGGTTCCTAACACTGATCAAGCCTAGCATCTCTGCAATCCTCAGCACCCAACCTGCAGCACTTCAAAGCACAGGACCTGCCTCAACTCAAATCACCCTCTTCCCCCTTCTACAGGCAGGGTGGTTTGACTCCCACTCACATACCTTCAAGGCAGCCAATGGATACCACTGGGCCAATGACCTAGCAGACTTCACTTACTGTGTGTTTTCACACAGACACAGAATCACACAGAACCGCAAGGGTTGGAAGGGACCTCGGGAGATCATCTAGTCCAACCCCCCTGCTAAAGCAGGCTCTCCTAGAGCATTCTACACAGGACTTTGTCCAGGCGGGCTTTGAATATCTCCAGAGAAGGAGACTCCACAACCTCCCTGGGCAGCCTGTTCCAGTGCTCTGTCACCCTTAGAGTTTTGGTTAGTGAAGTTTTACACGTTAAGTGTCTAAATGGAGCCCCAAGAATTCTCTCCACTTCTTATCTACTCTTGCCTAGCTGCATCTTCTTGACACTTAGACTGAGTCCACTGGGAGGACTGGCAAGTGTGAGGTGTCTGCACAAAGCACAGAGTGGCTACACGCCACCACAGGCTTCACACTCCACAGGAACTTTTGCAAGCTGTCTTCCGCTCTGATAAAAACTCAAGCTCACCAAAGTTTCTCATGCCTTTCCACAGACATAAACAACTTCCTTGGACTGTAAATCTCCACCATCAGAATGCTGGAAACTCCCCCTTGCTGCAGTCATTCCCTCAAGGTCTCAAAGTGGGTGAAGAGATCTCCAATACTTTAGAAAAATCACATCCAGCATACCAAATGCACATTCCACTGCATCCCCAAGCAAAACAGATGGGTCTGACTTGCTGGGAAGACATTTCCCTTCTTCAAACAGGAATGTCAAAATCCTGACCAGAAGCAGGTTTGTCAACACCCCACCATCAAACAGGTGATCTAGGGGACTCTTCTGTCAATTCCTGCCAAGCTAAGGACAGGAGAAGTGCATGGAGATGTCCCAAGCTGAAATCACAATTTTTTCTCTAGCCCACAAGGACCTGAGCACTTACCAGCCTGGGCTCAAATTTGAAGCCTCATGAACCAGGGACACTCACTCAGATGCCCTGAAGAAGAAAAACAAATAGCTTAGCATCCACAGCCAGTTTGAAATCTCACCCCATAAATATGTAAGGAATAGGGAATGTTTATAACTAAGGACAACTGGATTGTCATCTCACTCCAGGTACCCTCCCCAACTCAAATCAGATCTGAAAGTAAGTGAAATTAGCTTAGGATAGCTGGGCCACATAACTCAGCAAGAGCTGGAAAGGCATCTGAGAAGGACGTGTCCAAGGCACTCAGGCAACTGGGATAACACAAACTCAAAATGCATGAAGCAATAGCTTCAAGGGAACCTTGGCTCCCAGAAGGACTAAACCTCTTGTGAAATGGAACCCTCCCAGCTAATCTTCTCTGCTCCCGCAGAGGGATGCTAACTGTAAAGCCTTCAGTACAGAAGCTTGGTAACACTAACAATTATCTCACTCGTCCTTTTAAGTCAGTGCTTCTCATCTACAAATGAGCTGGCAGTTATCAGACTCTTGTTTCAGCCAAAACATTACATCCTTGTGCCTACAGACGTGATAACCCACACCTCCACAAGAGTGGAAGGCAAGCTACTCTGACTTCCAGCAAGCAGCATGTTATGCTCTACCTTGCTGCTAACAGGCTACTTTCTGTAAAATAGTGTCCAGCCAACCAGGGATACAACACAAGTTCAGAAACAACCTTCCTCTCTGTTCAAAGCCCAGGGACCCATCACTACAAGAAGAGAATTGGGTTGATCTGGGAGCCAGTTGTAAGAGCGTAGCTCTGTGGTCATCACTCTTGCCACTGGCACGAGAGACTGCAGTGGAGCCTTCCCTTCCCTGACACACTTCTGCTGCTGTGCTGCTTTTTCCCTGTCAATGGCACCAAGCCCTGTGGGAGGTGGGACAGGAGCGCAGGGTGTGGAGCAGTTGTACACACACAGGGAGAGCCAGATTGAAGGTGAATGGAACAGGCAGGCAACCAGGACCGCGCAAACTCAAGCTTTGCCAAAACAAACTGAAGAGGTACCCTAGTGCTGGCCTTGCCCCAACAAGCTGTCTGGCCCCTTTCCTTACTACAACGCTGTAGTCGGGTCTTGACTAGCACAGGAAAAAACAGCTTCACAAGGGCATAACTGCTCTGCAGGGTGAACTGTAAAGTATGGGGGGGGAGAAGAGAGAGAGGGAGAACGTGCACCTCCAGGAAGGACCAGGCCAGCATAGTTTGAATCTGCTTTTCCACCAACTCCCAGCAAGAGCTGGTTCAGCATCAAGGCAAAACCACCAGCCACATGAGCTGGCAGGCAAGCAGAGGCTTCCAGGAACAGCTGCACCCATGGGTCCACGCATGTTTCCCCATTGTAGAGGTGCTCAGAACGAACACGCCAACGGCCTCCCTGTCTCTCAGCACACAGTTCCTCAGGCTCAAAGAGGACTGGCCCTGCTTCCTACCCCAGAGCCAGCAACTATGCTACCTGCCACCTCATCCCCACCTACCTGGAAAAGATACCGGGATTTGAAACCTACCCTCATGATCTGAGAATTTCCAGAGACACTTAAGCACTCACAGTGCCTCCAGGCAACTTTCCCTCAAACAAGGACTTACAGATCCAAAGTGACGACGTGTCCAAACATTTCTGGCCGCTTGTCTCCAAATCAGCTTTCTCCTGTCAACATCGAGCAGCATCTGGCCAACAGCTCCTGAAACATGAGAAAGGAAACTTGGTATCAGTCACCTATCAGCACAACACATGGAAACAGTCAGGCATGCGCAGAGCAACCCACGGCCAGGTGGCAGGGCTGGGGTCGGCAGCAAACTGCTGCACCACCAGGCTACTGTCTAATGCTAGGACTCGCCAATGAAATAAGCTCCTTGTCCTCACCGTGTCCCAGAAAAGGAAGGTCTGCTAACCGTCTCTCCACGGAGCAGGATGCCTGTGCAGACCAATAACTGACCTCTGAAAGACAGCTGTTTTTTCTAGATGGCTCCAGGGGTCACTGCTTCTCCACCTGCACTCCTGTCCAACACCAGGAATCCAGCATCTGTCGTTCTGCTCCAGCCACCCTGCCACACCAACCTAATTTTGTTCTGCAGACTTCCCTGAACTGAACAGCACAGTTAAGCCCTCCTTGCTTACAATACCTGAGAATCCTTTGCTACCACAGAGAGAGAATCCCAAGGTGGCTCAATTAACCACACCTCCATTCAGAGAGGAGCAGATACTCTCTGCAGAACAGACGGACCTTGTGCTCCAAAGCAGAAACTGATACAGGTAATATCCAGAAATAGAAGGCAGCACTAATTCTGCTCACCACGATATTCACAAGCCTCTATCTGAAGGAGCTTGCTGTCAAGTCCACATTCTGACTACCCTGGAGAAGCTCAGCTTTAGCCTGGAGCTACAGCAGGAGGTAGCTCTTAAGCTATTCTAATTAGCACTGTAATACAAGAGGAAACTTAACCTCCTGGCTCCTTTTATCTGCCCTTTCCATCTCTCATCAGTAATGTTCCTTAACATTTACAGTCCTCTTCTTAGCAGGCTATTGTCTGCAGTAGCTCCAATTCTACTGTTTTCTAGCTACTACCCGCTGCAGTTCCAGTCTCATTTCTAAGCTCACTGACGGTTACAGCTTCACTGGAATGGCTCATCGAGGGCTACAAGGCTTGGGCTCACACCGATCAGCATCAGTAATAGTCACATCTTCCGGGCAGACGCGAACACACACAGAGTCAGAAGACTGCAGTGGAAACCTCACAATTTGCTTTGTTGATGCAAAAAGCTGAGGATTCCTTCACCCCCTCACAAAGACAAAACGCACACAACCTCCTTCCTCTTCACAGTGAGGGAGGGCAGTGACAGGCAGTATACAAGCTTGACTCTAGGTGTTTTTACCAGAGAGCATCCTTTAGCATAAAATCCACTTGTGGAATAGCTGTGTTCTCTGCCTGACCTGAGAAAGGCAAAACCTTTACCACACACCAGGAGCGGATGTGATCTAGCACAGAATTGCTTAAGACTGTTCTGTACAGGGCCCTCAGAACTAACAGCCACTTGGCATGCATGCAAAACCACAGCACTACCCGTTAGCATCACTTTGTCTCCAGTAACAAGAGGTCCATAGCATACAAAAAAGGTCCAAAAAGGAACACTTTGGACAAAAAGGAAAAGCACCAAAGAAAAAAAAAAAAAAAAGCGCAACATTTGTAGGCACCTACTGCCTTCCTGATACTTGGCAAGTCCCTTGAGGCCTGAGGTAGCTTTGGTTCTAGGATGCACAGTTTCTGCCTGCTCGCTGTTGCAGCAGCTGAACATTCCCTGCAAAGAGGCAGAGGACTTGCAGGGTTTTTCCTCATCACCACCTTCTCTTGTGTTGCCTTTTCTGACCTTACAAAACAGCCTGCTTAGTAGTGTTCAGGGTCAGCAGTCTCCCTTCCTCAACAGAAATCTGGTGATTATGTTGCAGAGAATGTTTCTTATTTCAGGCACTGTGTCATCTTTCCAGCCTTTTCCTCTTAAAAGCAGCATTTCTTTAACCTTGCTTTTTATTTAGAAAGATAAACTTGCATGACAGAGAAACTAAATTTCATAACACAATCACAGTCACATTTGTTTCTAATGCAACACTACAGAAACATTCACTGGCTATCACAGTTGGTGTACTCTAGAAAACTCCAAATACAATACCCACATGTAAAAAAGATGCTGCTACTGTCCTGTGCCACATACCTGATCATCACAACTAACCCAGAATTTTCACTCTGTGTGAGCCAACCTATCCTCCAAATGCATATCCAGTACAGGACACTGGCACATCTTGCTTTAGCAGGCAACAAGGTCTCTTCACTAGCATCATGAGAAGCAAAAGCAAGAGACACTTGTCCAGTTGTCTTCCTGTGCTTATGGATAGAGGCAACCTTAGCCTCCACTTGTCTCAAGCCAGACTACGTGAGAAGCTGCTGCAGTAAGCCTGATCAAGACAACTAATCAGCAAGATGGATGATGCAATAACTGCATCAAGAGGTCTTGTCCAGGACAGACAAACAAGCTGTGTGAAGTTAAAAGCAGCATCTGTAGACTGCTGGTGCCGACTACAATGGAAAAGGACTGCAAGGTTATTAAAGGACACTTTAACATTTAATGAGAGAGATCTTTTCATTCAGGGAAGGCATCTCCAAGTATGTTCAGATCCATTCTCTCGCTGGCTATTTTGAAGCTCATTTTAAAATAAAAGGATAACAGGTCCTAGTGCAGCAACTTGCATCTCGGTTCTGCTTGCACATTAATGCTCACGATTCAGATCTGAGTAATAGAATAATAGTGACTCTTGGATTAAAATTGCATTT